AAGCCACCAATGGTTGAACAACCAGTTAACAGACTTCTTGAATCCTGGATTTAGCAATCAACTCTTACAAGCTGGTAAGAGCTGGCTCCAGCACATCCAAGGAAGCAAAATCTTATTTATTATATAAGCCTTTGTTAGAACAGTAAGAAAGGACTTTATGGAAATTTGACTCTTCATCCTGGGATAGTAGACTGTGACAAAGGGAAGGGGGTGCTCCCTAAACTTTCCACTAGCGGAGATTGAATGGGCTAGCTCTCAGGAACTCAGGAGCTAGACATCCAATGGAACGGAGATTCTTTGAATCTTTTCCTTTTTTCTTTGCATTTGTATTTTTTCCTCCTCAAAGTCACTTATTCAGAGAATACTGGGGTAGATATCTTAGAGCGAGCTATTTCAACACATGATAACATTCCCTTGGTTTTTAGCTTTTCTGGAATTCAAGCACTTGCTTGGTTTTGTCATAGAGATTTGAGAAAAGTCCTCTGGCTACCTCCTTCTAGCCCTAAACCACAGTGCTGATCGGCCCCACCGTCTGTTATTCTCTTACATACTTTCAGAAAAACTTCTTCTCGTCTAGCTCTGCAGCTTGAATAAGTTATACTTTCAAATATGGTTAGTGTTGGGCTCCATAGTGGTGCTCCCGAAGTCCATTTTTAGGGTTTTAAGCTTCTTTTTTTAACCTGATTGAGCATAATGCCTGTAGGCTCCGTATCTCATCAGTAGGTGGGATTGAACCCTGATGAAGCGGAGAAGTTACAGTTGCTACCTCCTGGGACATCTTGGAGCAATGTCTTAAGTGTTAGTCAAGGGAAATGGGTGTCATCTTGTGGGTGAGACCAGTTCTTGTGTTTATCGCAGAGAACAATTCTTTGGGCTCTAAGATGTGGCTTTGCTTCTTCATAAACTGTCTTTTTATTATCGGCCTCTAAATAGTTGGCAAATATAATTGGTTTCTCTTTAAAAGCTTTTTTGGAGTACTTTTATATATCACATGAAATGGAAATGATGGAGATAATTTCCTTTCCTCATTCCTTTATGTCACTCACTGCTATGTCTCTGGCGGTGATTGACCTTCAGTGCACCCAGGATACTGTTCATGATCATCTGTAAGCTGAGCTCAGTTCTTGCGTTCACTGACCATGTGCACCCTTCACTCCACCTTCTCACTTTACAGCTGACCCCACATCTCCAAATCTCCAAACTCGAGCTTCCCATTAGTAAAGACAACATGTTAGAGTCTACCTTGTCCTGCTAAGGGAACAAGCAGTGTTTCTTTTGCTCTCATTTTTCCTAGCTGTGGACCACGAGTAATTGCAAGGTGATTTACCATTCACCATTAATAAATTTTTTACTAGGGATTTAATAATTAACAAGCTATTTCCTGTTTTTCACACACAAGTGTGAAAACTACCTTTGTCCTTCTGATGACAGTTGTGCTAGTATACCATGCTGACTGGAAACTCTTGAGGTTTTGATAAGATTTATTCATTGACTTTTCATATTTGGCCTTTGGGGAATTCTTGAAGCTCAGCTGCCTAAAAGACCAAGGTTGGATGGACTAAAATAGAGGTCAGAATTGGAAGGCATTTTCTTTGAAAAGTTTTGATAGAAACGTACTGTTTGCTGACAGCCTTCATCTATCAGTATTAATATTTCTATGCCAACGTCTAGGAAATATGTGAATCTGATGGAATTTCCTGATTTTATTTTATTTTTTTAAAGATTTTATTTATTGGAGAGAGAGAGAGAGAGAGCACGCACGAGAGGAGGCACAGAGAGAGAGAGAGATAGGCAGACTCTGTGCTGAGCGTGGAGCCCGACGCGGGGCTCTATCCCAGGACCCTGAGATCATGATCTGAGCCAAAATCAAGAGTCGGTCGCTTAACCCGACTGAGCCACCCAGGCGCCCCTAAGGAGAAAGATCATTTTCCCTGGAGGCATTAAGAGAGGCTAACTGCTACATGTGAGAGCTGCTATCATGTGGTGTGTTTTTTTTTAATTAATTTAGTTTTTAAATTGAGTGTTATATTTTATGCTAAGTTCAAATATGTTCCTTCTTAATTACCCCATTTGGCCCTATGGTAGATTCCAAAGGGTTGTTTTCAAAAGGCTGCCTTTAAAATGCCAAGATGCCTTTGCTTAGAGACATGCATTGGTAAACTTCAAAGAGTAGGGACAAAAGCAAAATCAATGGTTATGTTTGTCTTTCTGGGAGGCACAATGTTTCTAATCGGTCACTTGGTGAGGTTTTCTAAAATTGTGTATCAAGCTGTGGTTTAATAGAGTTGGAAAGGATAATAAGCTGGAGTCACAGAAAGCTATTTATATTGGCTGAGTTCTATGAAAATGAGAGCCTTAGAGGTTAGTGTTTACAGGGAGAAAGAACACCTGTGTTGCACCAGGTGCTTACCGAAGGGAAATAAGAAAAATGGGGGAAACCCTACCTTCCAACAACTTTAACTGGCTAGCACAAATTACTGAATTGGTGAACTCTTTCAACAAATATTAACATTGGCTCCACTCTGCCTGTACAGACGCGTTACCAAAGGTGTATCACACCGATGAAATTTCTGGAACAGGAAAACAATGATTTGGGAATTATGTATGTAGACTATGGGACTAGAAAGACTCTGCCATTAACCGTGTGACTTTGGACAAATTAGTTAACTTCTTTCTTTGCCTTGGATTCCTTGTCTGTACTTGGAGAATTAAGGTTGAGATAATGCTCCCAATGAAATAAGGGATGAAAAGTTACGATTTTTATGTATGTAAATAAATGATATGCCCTTAGCAAGGAAGGGAAATATAAGAGGTAAAATAAGAGGAAAGTCATTTTAGAAGAAAAACTTGCTTGACATTTTTTTTAAGTTGGGCACAAATCAGTGAATACCTTATATCTGATTTCATCAGTAAAATATTGGCTGAGGATAAATCTACCCTAAACAAGCCACTTTATTTGGTGGCAAAAGGGTAACTGCTCTATTTAAAAAGGTGGTAGTGGGCAGCATATTACTTCTTCATAGCTAACAAAAGATCCTTAAATCAACTTTAATGGGCAGGCCTAATGTTAGAAAATGCTATATGTGGGGATCCCTGGGGGGCTTAGTTTGTTGAGTGTCCAACTTGATTTCAGCTCAGGTCACGATCTTAGGGTTGTGGGATTGAGCCCCACATCAGGCTCCATGTTCAGCAGAGTCTGCTCATAATTCTCTCTCTCCCTCTCCTCTGCCCCTCCCCCATGCTCGCTCGCTCTCTCTCTAAAATAAGATAAATACATCTTAAAAAAAATGCTATGTGTATTTTTTTAAGGGACGGTGTTGAGGGACGGTGGCTTTTTCCAGAGCTATAGACAGATGTGGTTTCTTTGTTTTTTAAATTGCTTTAGCCTCTTAGCTACCCACTTGGTAAAGGGAACTTAAATGATCACTTAGGGACTGAGCTTTGGTTAGTGTGGTAATTTTCTTGGATAATTCATAAATATTCCAATTCTCCCCTTTCTGTCCATGGAAGGATTGCATTTGCTTACCTCATTTGGAGTTAGGCATGTCCACATGACTTGATTTGGCAAATGAAGTGTGAAAGGAAGTGTTGAGATTCACCTCGCACTTCCTCAGTTTTGTCACCAATGAGATGCATGCTGCAGTAGAATCTACATCAGCCAATTCTGTTAGCTGGTCCAGGACAGGTATTGTGAATGAGAATTGTCAGCCAATGAGATTTTGGGGTTGTTGGTTACTGAGGCAGAGGCTGGCCTATCCTGACTAAGCTAAGCAGTCTGTGGCCGGGTATCTACTGTGCACGAACATAGATTCAGAAGTAACCAGGTGACATAATAGAACCACCTAACTGATACTTAAAAGAGAGAATGCAGCCCACAAACAAAACAAAACAGAACAGAACAGAACAGAAAACCCTTCAGAATCTGGGTCCTGAGAGCTCTTCTGTTTGCACCAGGATTTGCCTTCCCTACCACCAGCTACTGTCTAGCCTACTGGGTGACTGGTCATTTCTCTTCTATAATCCCTAATTCAGACTACTATCATTGGCAAAATGAGATTGTGGACCAATAACCTCTTTATTACCACTTCCTACATCTCTCTACCTTGCTACCTCCCTCTCTACATCCCTATTTCCTTCCCTTCCTTCTTTCCTGGAAAAAACAACAACTGACTGCCTACTTTGTGCCAGGAACTGTATACACTTCTAGAAGAGCAAAGCCAAAGAACTATGATTTGGCCTCAGAGGAGCTGCTATTTAGTTAATAATAATAATAATAATAATAATCAACAAATAATGTTGATATAAAATGGCAAGCATTGTACTTGAGATATCTACAGAATAAAATATAGGCTTAGAAAAAACACGGAATGACTATGATCTTATATGACTAGACCTTGAAATTTAAATCAGTCCAAACAACACACAAACATCTTAGTAAGATCTACAGTTAGTAGTAGTCTTTCCAACTTTACTAAGTCATAAGTTTGGGAATGTCTTGAGTAGGCAGATACCATTATTTTCAAACAGAAAAAAGAATGATTAAATACATAGAGTATTTGAGGAATGTATGAGAAATGCCTATCTCATTCTGTTAAGCCAGGATGTAGACCCTTCCAACTCACATGATATTCTCACTATTAGAACAATCATATCTAAAAATGACAATAAGTGGAAATAATCAAATAACAAAGAAGATACATAAACATTGGCAAACGATTTGGGCTGCAGCCAGGATGAGAAGATATTAGAAAATATTTTACAGAAGCCTGTACATTTAAAAGCTATAAACTCTGATTAAAGGAATTTGCTACTTTAATTTTAATTAAGTTTCATCAACCTAAGGTAGAATTGCAATAAATGTGAAGAAAAAGTATGGAAACAACAGCTTTTCTGTTGTTTTTTTATTCAGCAAAGCATACATTTTTAAAACAAAATCATTCAGGGAAAAAAAAAATCTGCTGACACCACAATGCAAACCAAACATAGCAAAGTTTCCCTGCTGATAACATATTGTGACTTTTTATTTTGGCATGGAGACATCACAGAAACTCACAGACTTAAAATATATATACAATCAAAGATTCCAAGCGCTTATTTGGGAAATATCACTGGAATGTTATAAAACTGTGAATGGCTTCTAGAACGCAATTTACTAAATCAGTCTTTGTTCTCACAAACTAGAGTAATCTCTTCCTTTGACAGTTGAAAATATATATAATCTCTATTTTTACAACCAGGGACCCACAGTTAATTTTCATCAGTGGCGGAATTGGCCAGGTTTTCACTGTCTTCGGCTGCTGTGTTGTGTCCACGTTGGCTTGGAATAGCAGGAAGCACTCGGTTGGTCCGCAGAGGTCCTCCAGATAGAACTGGGGAGAAAGGATAGAACAAGAGACTTTCAACATTTGCTTCTCTCGGAGTCTGAGGAATGGCTGTGGGAGAACGAGGTTATTTCTGAAGGAGTGGAGGCATTTATAAGGAGCTTGTCTCATTCAGAGGCCGGCTGCAGGATAAAGCTGTGTCTCTGTATCCATTCAGGCTTCCCACAAGTCATCAGGGATGTCAAATGTGCACAAATACAAGACAGGGCCAAGTTTGATCAAAACATGATTGGGCCTTGCATGCCTGGCAGAGCTCTCTTTTCCTGGGGTGGAGTAGCTGTTGATGGCCAAGTCAGCATAACGCTCTAAATGAGCCCCAAGACATCTGTACTACCCTTTTATGCGAACCTCAAAAGGTTCTCGGGGTTCTCTTAGGAAAAGTCCTCTGTACCTTTCCATTTCTTTTTCACAGAGCTGAAGTCGATCAAAGATCTTTATCTTTGCTTCTCTCCGTACATTTAATTATGAAGAGCAAAAAGCTCCTGGGCTCTGCCAAAGAAAACCCCCTCTCTGGCTTCTCTAAGCCCTACCAGGATTCAAGGCCGAGTGACTAGTTAATTAGGTATCTTTGTGAGTCATTTCTGCTTAAAGACAACTTCAGGCTTGAATTTCATCCAGTGATTGAATTCACACCATCCCAAACCCTCACTTTTACACAAATCAGTCAAAGCAGAGGAATGGATCTGTTAAGGAAGAGATTTTGGTTTCGGCTACAAACTCTTTGTGTGAGTTTGGGCATATATCTCCACCTCTCCCTTTCCTTCTCTGCAGAAGGATAGGGTTTTACTAAGACCTCACGGTTCACTGTTTTTACCTAAGGAATCCTAGAATTCTTGACTGGTCCCTTCCAAACTACAGCCTGGGACAGAAAAGACATGTTGGATATTTATTCCGTGCAAACAGTTGCCAGTGTTTTCCATACGTTACCTCATGTAATCCTCCCAACAACTTTATCAGGTTGGCACTTATAGGCTAAGGGAGGAAACTGAAGGTTAAGAAACTTGTCTGAGGGCGCCTGGGTGGCTCAGTCGGTTAAGCGACTGCCTTCGGCTCAGGTCATGATCCTGGAGTCCCGGGCTCGAGTCCCGCATCCGGGCTCCCCGCTCAGCGGGGAGTCTGCTTCTCCCTCTGACCCTCCCCCTCTCATGTGTGCCCTCTCTCTCTCTCTCTCTCTCATTCTCGCTCTCTCAAATAAATAAATAAAATCTTTTTTAAAAAAAGAAACTTGTCTGAAACAGGGCAGCTCTTAAATCATCCAACCTCTCCAATTACGAGGGTATGGAGAGAGACAGCAAAGAGAGAGAGAGAGAGAGAGAGAGTACGTGCATGCTCGCATACCTGTTATAAATGACGGGGCTGGGATAGAAAGAAAAGGAAAGGAAGGCAATTAGAATCCAGTATTGCTTGTTTGCATGAGTCAGCTGACTCTGTGTCTTACAGTTTTGCTCCCGGCTCTGCTACTTACTACCTAGGTAATGTTGGGCAAGTCATGTAACCTCTCTGAACTCAGTTTTCTCATCTGTACAATAGGAATAATAATAGAACCTGCCTCCTACTACAGATATGAGGATATACAAACTCAGAATTTCTGGGGTGTGGGGCCCAGAAATCTACTTTATAACAAGCATCCCAGGTAATACTTTAAATACACTCAGACTTGAAGATCACTGCTGAACGGACTATATTTAATATTTTATATTGTAAGAAATTTTTGTACAAAATATAAAATAAATCAATAATGTCAAAAGCAATATGAACAGCATCTACATGATTATTCCTTTCTGTTTAGGGATGCATAGCTTCTGAGTACAGGAATGACACATATTTGTACCTGTTCATTATAGTAAGGAAACCAATGTCAAGAGACCAGTCTTAAGAGAAGAATTTTTAAAGCTCTTAAACACATTAAATAGTACATAGCTAAATAAACTTCAGTCATTGTTTTTACAATCCAAACACAAAAATTCCTCAAGGGAGGGAGTTTCTTTTTTTTTTTTTTTTCCTAAACAAGCATTACCAACTTGGATGAAGCTTTAAAGACTGCTTCTCTTGTATTTTCCTGTAATTTACAAGTTTTGGCGCCTGATGTTCTCTCAAAAAATGAAAGTAAACTGAAATAAGAGTTAGTTGCGTCTAGACATGTTAACACTTGCAAAGGAAGCTGAAGAAGATTCATAATACTTACATTTTTGGTCTGGCAGGGGAGCTAGGTTGTTCCGAGTGATAGGAAGGTCCCTGATCTGGGCTCTGTTTGGGGAGAAATGCTGAAAATTTTGTCCTGGGGACAAACAGAATGGTATCAATCATTTGAGACATAACCAAGGGTGAATCGTAAAATCCGATGGATAAGAGAATATGAAATTGTTAAGAGATCGCCGAGTTTAAGATACTAACAAGAACCAAAATCATAACAGCTACACTTTATTGAGTTTCTATTATATGCCAGTCACTGTTTCAGTGAAAGAAAAAGATGTGGGAAATCAACTTGAATAAATTAATTGAAATAAAATTTTACAAACAAGCACAGTTGGCCACCCACTCTATAAAACTTAAAAGTTTGAAAAAATAAAATAGGGTATAAAGTATATCAATCAAATCTGTGGTGAATGACACAGATAAGTGAGATATATTTTTCTAGATCAGTGTTTCTCAATGCTGGTTGCACATAGGAATTATCTGAGGAGTTTAAAAAAAAGCCACAACACTGCTGCCCTAGCCAAACCCCCGATCAATTAAAAGAGAATCTCTGGTGCTGGAATAGGGCATCAGATTTTTATCAGTTCCCAAGGGATTCTAGTGTGCAATAGGATTGAGCATCACTGCCCTAGAAGCTGGGATCTGGGTGAAGTCACCTGGGAGATGGCTATTCTCTACTATAGGCTATAAGCAGTGCTGTGCTGGAGCCATGTGTACTGGCTCTTGGGAACCGATGGTGAAAATTGCAGGACTTTAGCGAGGGGGTTGACATCACAGTGGCGGCTAGGCATCGGTCAGGGTAGAAGTATTTACACCATGGAAATCAGCAAGCACTGATCTTTCTCCTGGAGAGCCAGCTGTTAAATATTTATCAACACACTACTGATTATAAAAGAGCGATCTAAATATCTGAAAATAGAAAGGAATACCCAAGTTATTTAGGTCCTTTTAAATAGTTGACCAAATGGGACAGGATTAGACTCGTTTGCCAGCTTGGGCAAGAGATGCTCCCTCTCTAAACTTCAATTTCCTGATATACAAAATGGTGAAAATAATTGTATCTGTCTTTATCACTTGTCATAAAAATTAAATAGGAAAACTGGGTGCCTGGGTGGCTCAGTCAGTTAAGCGACTGCCTTCGGCTCAGGTCATGACCCTGGAGTCCCGGCATCGAGTCCCACATCGGGCTCCCTGCTCGGCAGGGAGTCTGCTTCTCCCTCTGACCCTCCCCCCTCTCGTGCTCTCTATCTCTCATTCTCTCTCTCTCAAATAAATAAATAAAAAAAATTAAGTAGGAGAACAAATGTAAAGCATTTAGCTTACAAGGTTAATGCTCAAGAAACATTAGTAATTATTACAGTTTTATTCTGTGAAGTGTTTAACATGATCTCCTGGAGAGTGGAGAATGTATTCATTCGATCTTTTGCCTCATAGTCTTGTAAGAATCAAAACAACTATAGGACTGCTCATGGGTTTAATTCTTCTGCTTGGGCCAAGTACTCCTTAGAATAAGGGGGAAAAAAGCATTAGCCAAGATCCACTGTCCATCTGCGTAGGGGAGTCCGATGACATATTGTAAGGGCAGACATCTGAGCACTGCCATCTGATGAAAATTGAGCAAAATTTCCAGTCTCTCTGGTGGATATTATATTTTTATTCCTTTGTATGCTAAAGGTCAAATAACTTCATAAGCTACTATTTAAAAAGAAAACATCCCTGAGTAGAATAACAGTAAGTAATTACAGCAAGTACCCACATCAAGTCATACCTTATTTATCCATGAACATTTGAGCAGAAATTTGCAAAACCAAGAAATGAGATCATGATAATTATGGATAATGTTTACTGAGAACTTATGACTGTCAGAGACTGGCCTGAATGCTATAGGCATGATTTCATTGAATCTTAACAATCACTTCCCCTTGTGACATAGACACCATTATCACCCCCATTTTACAAATGAGGACCCTGGCTTGGAGGAGTTCTCAAATGTGCTCAGGGTCACATAATGGAAAGTGACAGAGCCTGGGCTCCAACTTAGGTGTGTCTGACATAGAGACCATCCTGCCTTCCTAGCAGCCAAAGCCATTTTGACAGGATGTGAGATGGGCAGAAAGGGGACGTGGCAGTGATTTGGGAGGTGGGGGGAGAGCTTGACTTCATTCTGCACTGGCATTTGGCTCAGTTTTGAAGGACAGGGTGGAGCTGTGCACAGCCCAGAGCTCTTTTATCTGTGCTGCAGGCACCTCGGGGAGCGTCCAGCCCTTGGGGACAGGGTCAAGGACCACTGTCCTAGATTCAAAAGGCAGGAGGGGTTTTCACAGTTAAACAAAGGAATTTAGTTAAGCAACTAAAGAAATTCAGCACTTATCTATTGTGTATTCACTGTATTCCTGAGCCTAGAGCACAAAGTGGACAAGGCAAGGTGCTCAGGAGGGGATTACAGTGTATGTTGGAAGAAAAACGGGTTAACTTATTCTTTTGGAGCCCAAGCGTGGTGGTGCGAGGGCATCACATAGGAAGGAGGTGTCCAGAGAGGTGGAGGTATCTTGAATCCCACAGAGCTCACCTGAATGTCTGCTCTGTCACTTCCTATCTAGCTCTGTGACCTTAAGCAGGTGGGCTAAACTCTCTGGGCCTCCATTTCCTCATTTCCAGAATGGGCATTAAGAACTCCCGAAGTGCTGTCAAAGGGGAAGTATGCACTTCACTATCTGCCCCACAGGAGGCTCAACAAGGTGGAGCTGTTCTTTTGTGGTTCATAGTAAGAAAGAGCCACAGCTCCTACAGATGTCAGGGTGACTTCGAGACAGGGTGGCTTTTGAGCTGGTTCTGTAAAAGACTGTACAAATCTGTGAAGCACACAGTGGACAGAAGGTATACATGACATGGGCACCGATGCCACAGAGTGAAAGGTATGGGTTATCAGGGAACTGAGAGATATTCAAGGAAGTGTTCAAGGGGACGGGAGAAAGGATAGGAGATGTGAGGCACAGACACTGAGAATGGGGAGCGAGGCCCAGTCATGCTGGGAGCATTTTGTCTACCAGCTAAAGAATCTGACCTTTGTCCTGGAAAAGACGCAGCACCTCTGATGAGTTTAAACAGAGGGGTCACAGGATCAGGTCCTACAGGATCAGGGAGGAGAGCACATTGCTGCTGGGATGGTCTAGAAAACTGGGGAGAAGGAAGTTCTCTCTTGAAGGAGAAGGGAAGCAAGTACTTTCTTACTTTCCGTGTGATGGCTTCTAAATAACCAGGCTGGTAGCGAACACCACAGAGCTTTCTGTTCCATTTTCTCTGAAAGCTGCTCACAATGAATTAAGCTGATGTGCTCCAAATTTCCTCATTAGGTTAAGTGCCTCATCCCGCATCTCTCTCCATCTAGCCCACTGACAGGTCTCAGTGAATGTTAAGTAATAATCATTACAGCTAAATGTTCAGAGCTGCTGATGCAAGCACAGGATATTGGCTGCCAGGAATTCAAACAGTAGCACTGCTAGACCCTATTATTTCTACTAAACGCTAGGGCAGGAAAAGAGAAAATCCAAAGCTAAAGGGACTATCCAAGTTCAAATCAGTGGTGGGTGCAGTGGTATGACTTACAGTATCCAACTGCTTTCTCGTATTAGACTTCATATCAAATATGGGAGATCATTGTTGAAATGTGCTAGATAAACAACTTAAACCACTTAAGTCAACCCTCATAACTGTAGTCCAGAAGCCTCAGTCGTTCTAAAAACAACATTTCAAATTGGGTTAAAAATGTCCACAAAAATAAAATCCGTAAGACAGGAAAATCTTTTTGTTTTGGGAAGGACAACGTAATTTCTAAGCAAATTGCACTGTGGGTAAACTGGTAAATATACTAACAAACTGGACTTTGAGATTTCAGGAGAGAAATACATTGCCATGGTGATACTTGCTATTTAGGAGATCTGGGTTCGAGTGCTGATTATGTCATTAATCAGTTGTAAGACTTTGAGCAAACCATTTTAACTATTCTAGGCCATGTGAATTATAACTGAAAAGGGCCTCAGGAGACACAATGGTCTCAGCCTCTGGATGAGTTAGAAACTCGCTCAGAGAGATGACATGTCTTGCTTTATCAATGAGGACTCATCCAGGAAAAAAGAGACCTCTCCTGGTCTTTCAAACAGAGGGAATTTCGTACAAACTGTTGGTTATGTCTGCGATAGAAAAGCTAAGAAGCCAAATGAAGAGAGGGTAGAAGGACAATTCCAGAGATGAGCTGTTATATGGAAAAAAAAAAAAAGCAACCCCCCCTTAGGCTGGTGAGATGAGAGGAAGAGGAGGTAGAAGATCGTGGGGGCCAGAGCCCCAGTGAGCAGCTGTGTGTGGGGGGCGGGGAGCAGGAAGGAGAGGATGGAACCGCTGTTGGGGCTTCCAGAGGAAGCCGAGGGACATTGTGTACAACTACACTGCTTTCCCTCATTCTCCTAGTCTTCCTCTTCTGCCGTGCCTCCTGGGACTTGGCCAAAGTACCTGGAAGCAGCTTCAAGGGAGTCTATGAAGGTTGTTCCCTGAGAGACAGAAGAGAGCTGGAGGGAAAAGACTAGATGTGAAAGCAACGAAGCAATTGACTGGCACATTTACTTAAATTTCATTATCTTTAAAACAAGGTCATTTCTACCTTGTATCTGAAGCATAGTGCTTGGTATAGGGCCTGGCACATGGTTTTTTAAAACAAAAAACAAAAACCCAAATACTTCTGTGAGTGTATAATACTATATTCAAATCACTGTTCTAAGTACTTTACTCTCTTAATCTTAACAGCAACGCCCAGTCCTATGTTAGGTTTTTCCTCCCGGTTTTTTTCAGGTGAAGAAACAAAAGCCCAGAGAGATTAAGTAGCAGCAAGTAAGTGACAGGGCTAGAATTTAAACCCAGATGTTTTAACCACTGGAGTATTCTGCCTCTTGACAAATTAGAATGACAGAGACTCTAACCATTATAAAGACCATATAATCTCCTATCTAAACATGAGAAGAAAATTGCTTAAAAGTCAGTTGCACAATCATTTTAGTGAATCCATATCTTTAAAAATTCATTTATAGGCTGAAGATTCTTGGGAGATTTATCTTATCACAACTCAGTTGCCTAGAATGACTCCTAGTTATTATCAGTGCTTAAAAACATTGGTTTGAAAAAATAAATGCTTTGATGTGCCACAGCTAATTATTTAAGATTCCCTTGGAGAATTTTGTTGCTTCTTTTCTGCTATTCTGCAACCCCAGGACTATTCAAGTTACCTCACTGGCAAATGAAGCAAATTTTCAAAGCAAGTTATTGAATTTCCTTTTATTTCCAATAATATAGAAGGTTTTAGATGGCACCAGTGACAGAATTTACTAGTTCACGATCCAATATCTATTCTCTTCTCTCTTTGAAACAAAAATCCAATTTTCGAGGGCCAGCCGTGTGCCGAGATAAAAGACTACAATTCCCAGCCTCCCTTGCAGATAGGCATGACCATGTGACTAGAGTTCTGGCCAATGAGATGTGAGAGAGACATGGGGGACATAGTTATTGAGAGCTGATTCAGCTGGGGGCATATCCATTTTTCCCCTCTCTGTGCTCCTTTCCTCCTTCTCTAGTTAGCCATAACAGAAGCTGTGGAGCACGCAGATGGAAGGAACCTAGACCTTTGGTGATGATGGAGCACCTGGGAACTGCCTACTTCAGACTTCTTTCGCGTGACAGCAATAAATTCCCCAATGTTATTGAAGCCACTGCTACTTTGGTTTCTGTTACAGGCAGCTGAGCCCAGTCGTAACTGACAGAGAAAAAACAGACCAAGGCTGTCCTGGGAACAGAAAAAGAAGAGGATTTTCACAAATTTCAAAAGCTTTTCAAAAGAGAAGGTATTGGGCGCCTGGGTGGCTCAGTCGGTTAAGCGACTGCCTTCGGCTCAGGTCATGATCCTGGAGTCCCTGGATGGAGTTCCGCATCGGGCTCCCTGCTCAGCGGGGAGTCTGCTTCTCCCTCTGACCCTCCCCCCTCTCATGTGTTCTCTCTCTCATTCTCTCTCTCTCAAATAAATAAATAAAATCTTTAAAAAAAAAAAGAGAGAGAGAGAAGGTTATTCGCCAGGACAGGACCAAATCCAGAAAGGAGGCTGGGTTGAGGCCCTGGAGGCCACTAAAGTGTCCAAAAAAATGAAGACCAGTATCTTTCCTTCCTTTATCTTCTGTAGAACCAAAGCAAAAACACTACCTGTGCCACTAACCACATACTTTAGTGCTTTGTGGAGGAAGTAAAATGTTGGGTGGAGTTTTTCTCAGATACTGGGAAATAGCCTTCTTGTGCTCATCCATATTTATCCTGTGCTTCAGTACATATAAATCTGTATGTGGGGGGCCATACTCTACCTCACATGTTTCAGACACCAGGCACCTAGAAATGAGGGAAGAGAGCCATGCTGCATATTAAATACAAAGGAATATTTTACATTTCCAAATACATATGTTCCTCCTCTTGGTCTTTCCTTCTTCTGTGTTTGACAGAAATAGGGGTTCAAGATACATCATTTTTTCTCCCTCTCGACCCTACTATAAGAAAAACAACAGAAACCCGTGGATAAAAACAACTGACATTCCACGGAGAGATACTAGGGAGTGTGGTGGATTTTGCGCTGAACTGGGGACAGGAACGTCCAACTGGTGTTGAAGGGGACTGTGGTTATTCACATCCAGCCGATTATGACCAAGTGGGATTTGGGTTCAGTGTTGCCTGACTTTTTAATTTCTCAAGAGAAGCTAGAATTTTTGATTTTTATGTAAAACTTCATGATTTTTAAACATTAGCAATTAACTCACTTGAAAACAAAACAAGACACGGTGGTAATGAACTAATTTGGGAAGCTGTTTTGTAGCCTCTGCTTTACAACAATGGTTCCCTTTCTCTGGTGTGCATCAGAATCACCTGTGGACCATTTAAAAAATAAAAATAAATGTTTTAGTGTGATACATTTATTTAAAAGGGGTGATTAGATACATATATATTGTTTGTATGTGTATAAAAACAAATTCTTTAGTATGATACATTTATTTAAAAGGGGGATATGTACTTATGTATAAATATTTCGTGTGTGTATATGTGTGTGCACACACACGTGTATAAAACATCTCTGGAAGAATAAACAAAAAATAACATCAGTAGTTTTGATGTGGGGTGCCATGTAGCTGGGGAAAGAGGTGGGAGAAATGCAATGTGAGCCTTTGGAATGTATGGAGACTTGAACCATTAATGTGTGAATGTGTCTCCTTTCTACGTGGATACACAGAAAGCATTGCCATTTTCCCTCTTCCCTCACCAAGATTTTGCTTCAGTAGGTCTGGAGTAGGGATTGAACACCTGATTTAAAAACAAGCCATCACACAAACAAATCAACCCCTCATAATTGATTTTGCCACTTACCCCTGGTTAAGAATCTTTGCTACCGGAAATACTAATATTCCCTCTCGAATCTGCCAGTCACCACACATTTGCTGGGAAGATGAGAAGGCACATACTTCAACATGATGACTGCTCTCAGGGTGGAAAAGCAGAATGCTTCCACAGCCTGGAGATCTTGAATCCAATGGATTCAAGGAAAAAAGTTGGCCCTAATCACCATTTTGTTCTGGCTCTGCCCTCTAGGCTACTACTGTCAGGCCAGTTCCTCACCCAGAACTGTAGGAAACATTTCTCACATAGAGAGAGCTTGCCCGGAATGAGGGAGAAGGAAGCAAGGACAATACCTGATGAAGGATTGTGTAGGTGAGGAAGATGGGGCAGCCCCAAGACCTCCTGGTGACCAGACCTGCTGGTGAGCAATCTGTCCAGCAGCTTATCAGAAGAAGACACAGTCCAAGCCTTACAGAACACCTGGTTAGAATCACCTCTCCAGGGGTTATCTAGCAATGTCTGGCAGCCAGTTCTGTTGTGCAGTAAGTCCTGCTCACTTCGGCTTTTCTGAGATCGCTGGGCCATCTGATGAGTACTGGAGCTCAGGCCAGCTTGGGAAGTGGCCCCCTGGGAAGCCATCAGGAAGTTATTGCCCAGGGTGATGGGTGGGAGACTCTGCGTCCTGATTGGTGGAAGCCCCTTATGGGCCAGAGGCTTCTTTTCTGGCAAGAGATACTTTGAATTCTCCGAGGTCCGCTTCTTAAAGTCGATCATAGCCACCTGATCACCAGGCTCTTCTTGGCAGTTGGTCTCCGGGATGCTGTCGAAGGTGGTGATGATGTCATCGACTTCCGAGGTGTGCTCCCCCCTGTGTCGGTCCCTGCTGTGATCCTTGTGATAGGCCCTCTGCTCTTCTTTTTTGTTTTTGCAGAAGATTTGGTTGAGCATGCTGAATCGTCCCTCCTTCCTCTGGGGTCTATTGTTCTGGGAAGGAAGGAGTCGAGTAGGCTCTGTTCTATGGGGATATAAAATAACAAGGATGCTATGAGAAGATAGGAAATGGAGACAATCCCCAACCAAAAAAACAAAAAAACCCCCCAAAAAACCCCAAAAAACCTCCTTCTGTTCCATCTGCTTGAGAAGGTTGTCTGAGGTCATCCAAAGACACCCCAAAGCTGTGTCAAGTCAAAGGTGATGTGGAGGAACTTGCAACACCCTTTGTCACTCCCTTCCTTGCCATAGTCACTTCTCAGCCCATTTATTTCTTAGATTCCTCTTAGTTCCTCAGGAGCTGTCCTTTCACAAAATTTACCTCTAGAGAATCTCCTTTCAGCTGAACCTCACTTCTCAAGGACAGTCAGTGGGAGTGTAAGTTCTAAGTCACAGAGATGAAGGCCAACCGTGAGTTGAGGCTTCAACTAGTGGGAGTGGGGTGTGCTCGCAGAGGTGGGGGAAGTGTGGTTTGGGCTTTCTCCGAAAGAGATCCCAGCAGATCTGGGCAGAGCTCGGACATTATCTACTTCAGGAAGCTGGCCCGTTTTATGCTATTTGGACGTTCTTCGCTTCCCTTTCAGTTTTTACTGAATTTCCTATTGAAAAAATACTTTTAAAAAAAGTATACTAAGGGAAACCAAGGGAAGAAGCTTTTGTCTGGGCTTCAGCTGCTCAAGAGGAAGTGTGTATGCCAGGGATTGGGCGTGGCAGCAGAAGCAAAGTGAGCAATGCCCAATGGGCAGGCAAATTCTAAAGAAAAAAAGGTCAGCAGTTGTCCGGCTGGCTCCTCTTCTGTGGAGAGTTTCCCTGAGGCACCATTCTGTTTTTGTTCCTTGGAAAATTCTGTTATTCTCTTTTGAGGCCACAATTGACTTAGTGCTTTCTGTGGTATGAGTTAATGATGAAACCTGACCCATGTGCATGTCCTAAAAGCCAGCCTGCAACATTACTTTTCGGAGTGAGATATTGTAATTTGTAATTTGAAAAACATCACTACTTGGCTGCATATAATTCATGTTTTTCTTCACAGGTCACACAGTGTGTAATTGAATCTTTACTTCCATGATGTATTTTTATCTTCCTTCTTTCATTTTTATGATTCATAGACAACCTATGGTTATTGGAGTTGGCTATTTGCAGAAATTTTCTCAAAAATGAATAAAATAAGCCTGCCATTTCAAGGTGAACAATTGACAGGAATTGCCGCCAATGACAAAAGTCCAGTTTTCAAGCAAAAACTAGAACTTTGAAAAACCTGTATGCACTCTGTAAGCTTGACAGCTTCCTGATACATAAAGGCTTTTCTGATAAGATCAGTGGTGATATTAACAAATGTGATTTTTAAAAATTGTATAATGAAATGTGTCACTTGGAAGATATTCACAACTAACTGAACCAGTATTTTCCAAATGACCAGAGCAAGATGTTATAAAGTCATGCATGGGTATAAAACCCATTTAAAGTGCAAGATAGACTAATGGATTTTGATATAACAGAGTATAAAAAGTTCATTGATATGCCGACAGTCCACATGGCAACTAACATTTAGGAAGCTAACACTTGTCAAATTTTGGTGTAATATCAAAGGAAAGTATCCACAATTATCTCACAACACCACTGAAACATTCTCTTCTCCAACTACATGTTTACGCAAAGCCAGATTTTTTTCAGACACTTCAATCAAAACAAAGTATTGCAAGAGATGGAACACAGGAGTAGATATGGGAGTTCAGCTGTACTGTATCAGGCTTCTGTTAAGATATCAAAGAGATCTGCAAAACAACGTGAAGCTAGGCTATTCTCATAACAACTTGTTTTTGGTTTTGGAGAATAGGTTATTTTTAACTAAAAACATGGTATTTATGTCAACATGTAAATGTAATGGGGTTATTACTGCTTTATGTGAATAACTAAATAAATAGTTTATTAAAATTTGTTTTAATTTCTAATGCCATAAATATCGATAGGTGTAACTCATGTCCACAAAAGCTCTCTGGGGTTCCCAGTTTTTGGAAGTGCAAAAGGGTCCTGAGAACAAAAAGTTTGAGAATTGTTGATTAGGGAAAAAAAGAAGATGAAGAGACCATGGCATAAAGGGAAGAAGAAAGGGAGAAAAAAGAAAGAAGGGCCAGTTGAGCGGGCATCAGGGCTGATGGATTCGGGCTCGTGACTATCATTTTGCTCCACTGAGTCGAGAACATGTCACCCTCTGTTAGACAATGGCAAAGACAATATTAAGGTAGCGCTGGCTTTGTACATCAGCAAGTTCAACAATTTTAACCGATTTTATACATCGCTGAGAGGAAGAAAACCAGTGCCTGCTGGTGCACTCACCTGCTCTCCTGGGAGAGGAGTCGGATGCAGGCTGCATGGCCGCAGTACAGGGCGTAGGCCAGGGGCGTGCTCTCCTTGGTGTCTCGCAGGTTGCTGTCCATCCCCAGCTCCAGCAGTGACTGGACACAGTCTGCCTTCCCTGCAGCTGCAGCCCAGTGCAGCGGGGTCCTGGGGGACCACAGGGGAACAACACAAGGGTCAGAGCACAGACATGGCCCAGGTTGCTTAGCTGGCGACAGGTCCTGTTCAAAGTCTGGGCATGGCCTGAAACACGCGTTGCTATGTACGCCGTGGAAGTGGTAGTAAGCATTAGATGGGGCTTCAGGATGATGGTGTGTCTGTCGGAGCCTGTCCTCCAGTTCTAAGCATCCCCTGGCCTTCTGCCTTCTCTGGCCTTCCTGAGAATGTCTTAGAAGAGGAAGTAGTGGGGGCGCCTGGGTGGCTCAGTTGGTTAAGCGACTGCCTTCAGCTCAGGTCATGATCCTGGAGTCCGGGGATCGAGTCCCGCATTGGGCTCCCTGCTCAGCGGGGAGTCCGCTTCTCCCTCGGACCCTCCCCCCTCTCATGCTCTCTCTCTCATTCTCTCTCTCAAATAAATAAATAAAATCTTTAAAAAAAAAAAGAAGAGGAAGTAGTGGGTCAAAGGCTATGGATAATTTTCAGGCTCTTTATGCATAGGGTCAAGCTGTCTTCTAAGAACACTGACTCAATTTAGCCACCTACCAGGTGGGTCCCTATTCCTTCCTAAACTGAGTGTTATCGGCGCCTTCAAAAATCTCTGCCAATTTGGTAGGCAGAATGATACTTCAGGGTTGTTTTCTTTTGCATTTCTTTAATAGCGAGGTTGAAATTTTGAAATATATTTTTGTCGTTTGAGTCTCTTCACTGAAATGACTCAATGTCTTTTGGCTGTTTTTCTGTTAGATTATTAGTTTTTCTTATTATTTAGGTGGGCTCTTTATGTATTAAAGGTATCAATCTTTTTGCAAACATTTTCTCTAATTTGTTACTTGACTTTTAATTTTTCAGTGATTTTCCACAAAATTAAAAAAAAACATTAATCATCTCTTCACTTTCGTTTCTTTCATAACTTTATGCTTAGAAAGCCCTTCATCAGCCAGAAGGTAGGTATATATTCATCAGTATCTAAGCCTTTATTAAATTGTAAAACCAGTATTTTCTTAGGAAAAAAAAAGCAAGAGACTGGGAGAAAATACTGTAATTTATAAATTGCCCTGGGAAAGGCTCAGTCCTGAGGCAGGAAGGAAGGGCATGGACAGCTTCCCCTCGGCTTTGTGGTGGGGCCTCAACCTTGGGCAGAAGGGCAGCCAAGTGGTCTCTCAGACATGGAGGCAGCTGAAGGGCTCGACAGAGAAGGGCTCAGTTGGGGCAATCTATGAAGGTATATGAGCCTTAATATTTGGAGAGTAGCCTTGTCCCCAGTGTGGCCAGTGCCCTGAGGTGTGGATTGTATCTCCTGTCAGTCAAAGTATCCTGCACCTCAGATTGTGCTATGGGCAGCAATTTGAGATCACTTAATAGGACCATATTTTTTTTCAATATAGTGATCAATCACAGTGCTTATTTAAATATGTGGCAGATGTGATTCATTCCACCCTACTTGAGAGAGGTCTCCAGACAATATTTATTATGAAATAGGATGAGGCACCAGCCAGATTATGCCATCCTGTTTAGAGGATATATTGCCAATAAATTCAGTAGATGAAGGGTTGGACATCAATTTTGTCAGGTTTGCTAACACATGACCACCCACTTTGGAGCAGCTTGAAATATTTCTTCACAACAACTGTGAAGACTGACTGTTTTAATTCTTCAGACTACCAACATGGAAAAAGAGGTCCGGAAGAACAGTGGGGAAACAAAATATTTTTTGGAAAAACAAGGGGAGTATATAGACAACTCCTAAGTAATACACATAGAGCCTTTGTGGGCCATCTGTAGTATCCAATTTCAAGTGATCTCAACTGTAATTCCTTTCTTATCTCTAAACTTCCTGCAAACACAGCAGACTGGTTTCAGCCATCACGTGCAGAGTTGGAGGGGCAGAGCCCATGATGAGAAGAAATTCATTAGAGATGGCTGAGGAGGTAGTCTCTGAATGGCAGGAAATGATGGCTCTGAGCACGCAGCATTGATTGAGGTATCAGCAGCTATGGAATGATTTATAGGACATGTAAACATCCCCTAGAGAATTCCCAGAAACATGTAGGGAGGGGAACTTGAGAGAAGACTGTCTTTTCTGAAGATAAATGGGTTGGGTATTAAGTCTGACCCCAGGGGCTGATGAAACTTGGGACAATTATGCTACATAAGGTACTTCTGAGTCACGTGGCACAGCACACGTGACCCAGAAGTACCTAATTTACACCATATTTTATTTTAATTTTAATTTGTTTAAGATTTTATTTATTTATTTGACAGAGGGACAGCGAGAGAGGGAACACAAGCAGGGGGAGTGGGAGAGGGAGAAGCAGACCTCCTGCGGAGCAGGGAGCCCAATGTGGGGCTCGATCCCAGGACCCTGAGATCATGACCTGGGCGGAAGGCAGACGCTTAACTGACTGAGCCACCCAGGCGCCCCTACACCATGTTTAAAATATCATAGATCTAGAAAGTACTTTAATATCTAGGAGGACTAGGGCCCCCCACATTATCCCTCCATTTTTTTTTTAATCACTGCCTTATTTTTCTTTCCTTTTCTTCAAACACTTTCCGCGAAGATGGAAAAGACAGGAAATCACAGTTACTACAAATGCTTAAGGTACTTACACCTATGAAAATTTTGAAAAAATTCTACTACTGAGACAAGCTCACAGTTTCAGTGTGAAGGCACAGCTGCACGAAGCAGAAAACGTGAAACAAAACAGAAGGCAGGATCTGTCAGTGCAGGCTACCCAGGAGCAGAGCTTGAGAGCAGGAACTATATCCTCCTTGAGATTTTACTTCACCTTGAACTCTCCTTGGACCTTATCTTTTGTACTATTTTTCTCTCCTTGGCGTTACTCTCTTCCTGAGTTCTTGCGGAACTGGATTTTCTTTGCTAAGTGTGTAATAATGCCGAATGGTAAATACCCTCTTCAGAGCTGGCTCTAAAGGTACTCTGAACTAGGCAAACCTTTCTCCAGCCCTCCTTTCTTTTTTTTTTTTAATTTTTTTATTGTTATGTTAATCACCTCCAGCCCTCCTTTCTTAAGACTCTAGCGGAAGGCTGACGCTTAACGACTGAGCCACCTAGGCACCCCAAATGTGTTGCTTTTTTCACCTTTTGGATCATTCACCTTTTCTCTTCATGTAACTTTAGTCCCGCTACTGTCTTACCTGCTCAGGATCAACATCTGCTCTTAGGAAAAGATCTACTTTCAATGACCTATACTTTAATTTTAATTATAGTCATCATGTTAACCATCTCCAGCTCCTGAGACTCAGATGCAATCCAAGATTTTTCCCGTGTTGCAAGGATTTCAGGTATCAGGGAGTAGGAGGTGCTTCTTGGAGTTTATCTGAAGTTCAGATAAATAGGTGGCTAATGTTGCAAGAGGGTAAAAAAAAAATACATAGTGTGTAAGCCTCTCACTTGTTTTCAATAGTCTTGTTTGTTGTTATATTATTCTTGTATTTCCATTGAGTCAATGCTTAACCAAAAGAAAGATTAGATAAAGAGTGTAATTGAAAAGCTCTAATAGTTGATTATGGGGGTGAAAAGCAATGTGGATGAAAAGTTCTCTGGAAGACGAGGGTCCAAGTCTTCCTCTAAATGCTAACTACCTCTGAGATAAGTCTCTTCCCCTTTCTGGATCTGGCTTCCTTTTCTCTGCCAATATATTTTTAATGATGGGGGGGGGGGAAGCTTGATAAAGTCCTATCTGGTTCTGAATACAAAACCTCTATCATGATCTTGTCTGGATAACAAGAACTTGTTGACTTTATGACATAATCCAGGAATGAAGAAAAAAAAATAAGACTTACTGTTAAGAATAAAAAAGAACATATAGCAGGAAGTTGACCTACAGAAAGCCTTCTGAGAACGTTTAGCAAAAGGTGGAAAATCTGACAGTACCGTACAGTCACAGCATTTCTCTCCATAACAATGATTTTTCCTGCCCTGACTAAAATAGAGCAGTTGTTATTGTCCCCAGCACATGGGTAAACCTCACTGGCAGTGAGGAGATACTCATATAGGATAACCCCTTCACCATGTTCTTTATTCTAAGATTAGCTTTCGGAGACGACTGGGAGTCCCCAACATGTCCTGAGTGGCCACAAATACCTGTCGTCCACATCCAGAGCCTGCAGGTTACACTCAGGTACGCTGGCCAGCTCATTAATGATGTCACTGAAGCCCGCGGCTGCGGCAATGTGCGCGCACGTCTTCCCACTCTCGTCGTCGTAGTTGATGATGGACGGACCCTGGTGGTGGCTCAGGATGATGGAACACAGGGTTCTGTTTCCACTCTGGGGAAGAGAGGTCAAAGGGAGTTCATGAGGAAGAGCCCAGGGCTCTTCCCTGTCTACACATGTTGAGATAAAATACAAAGAGGAAAACAAATGCGAAAAGAAAAGGAAAAAAAAAAGGAAGTAAACACATTTTATCAAACCCTCCAACACATTCCCACTAGTCTCTTGTCACTGTCGGGATTTTTGTTTCCCCAGAGCTAAGTTGTCTTCTATGGTTAGCCAGCTAAGAAGGACTTCAGTTAAATACAGGAATAGTTGACGGACGTCGGAGCTGGTCCAAGCAGGGGCTACCTACCCAGCAACTTGCTGCTCAGATCTGTGCTTTCTTTCCCCGCCTGTGGCAGAGGCAGACCCCTGAGAAGCTGGAAGAGGGACTTCTCATGTTAACAAAATGACCATGAGAAGTACTCACTGGTGGCATAATGATGACTGAGATGATCCAGTAATGGTCAAATGGCTACAAATTTCATGAAATTTAATCTCCAAAACTCCTTGGTGAAAGGAAATGGATCATAATTAAGTAGCTAATCAATAAAGAAATCAACAAATACGAGAAAGAAAGAGCTTCAGGCATCCATGTAAATTGGGCCTATCTCTCTATACAAATCTAATAAACTTTTTATCTTTGAAGGGAGGCTATTAAACCCTCTTTTAAGTAACCTGTTCCAGCCTTAAAAGCCACCAATTCTTCCTCGAGAGAGTGTCCTATATCTCTTCAGATTGCACAAACAGGTAAGTAAAATCTGCATATTACTGGTACTGAGTACCTTTTATTGACCTGAAAAATAAAAAAAAAAAAAACAAAAAACGTTGCATGAGCATTTGCAATGTAAGATGACAATCAATCTTCGGGGGCGAATGAAAGAAATTCTCATTTTATATCATGCAATAAAAAGTCTTATCTTTCAGATTCTCCTGGTATCTCTGGAAATATCATAAAACAATCCAAATAATTCATTAGCATTTTAATTTTCTCAGTGAATCCTCAGAGAGACCTTGGAACTCCATGCACTAGGCCTTATGGGTGGAATGGAGGTCCCTCGGAGGCATGCAGAGCAAGTTAAGGAAATGGGAGAGGCAAGTTGTTATTCTGGAAGCCCAGCATTGGGCCACATGCCGGGGTCAGAGATCTGGGCAAAAGAGAGAGAGAGATTTTTTAAAAAAGCGGTAATTCTGATGTGCTTCAAGCGCTGTTCAACGGCTACCTCCGGATACATTTTTCCATGTAAAATTTCCTGTTGATCTTCTTCCCACTTTGTTACCCTGTTAATGTGACCCCCAAGGTTGCGTTCTAGAGCTTGAATCAGTTTTCACAGTTCCATGGAATGGCACTCATTCATTTCACCTTTGCTCTTCCTTTCCCTCCCTTGTCTATTTGCACTCTGGGCTCTCTGGCTCTCCAGATTTCTCATTACTCAGCTGGCTCCTGGCTTCACAATGAGCCATTACACTGTGACCCCTGGGGTGTGCTTCCAGTGCATGAGGGGACAGCAGCTGACACCAGTCCTGAAACCTCTTGCAGGACCAAGGGCCAGGAGCCCTCACAGCTCTCAGGAAGACTGATCAGTGGGTGTTAAATGCTACAACCAGGGCCAGATACATCATGTGTGGGGCTCAGGGCAAAATGAAAATATGGAGCCCTCTATCTACACAGCAGGGCACAAGCTTATTCCTTCTTGGTGTCTTTCTTGACATGTCACAGTGATTTTTATTTGTTATTTAGTGTTGTGCTCCTTTGGGCTGGAGATTCTCACCCATTAGTGCAAACCCTCACGGGTGTCTAACTCCCCCTCTTGCAACCAGGCACATGCTTGATCCTGACCCTCCCCAAGTCTGTGTCCAGACCCCTTACCAGGGGGCTGAGAGTTTGTCCTAGGGAGGCAGGGAGGCAGATACTGTGAGTCAGGGTGCCACTGTCCTATCTGACTTCACTAACAAAACAAAAATTCAAAGATAAAATTAATGAGAATTTCCAGATGGCGACCACAAAGCGTTATACCCAAGCACAGGGCTCCCTTCTGAGAATGGGGCCCACTAGGGCTGTATTGGTCACATGCCCATTGAGTGGTCCCTACCCACAAGCTTCCTCCTTTTCTTCCACTCAAACCCCCTCTTCCCTCTTCCTCCCTCCATCCTTCCATTGTCTCTAATGACTTTAAATTATTTGGATCAATTGGTGAAGTGCTATGGCATGCCTGTTACCAGAAGTTGGCCACACTGAACACATCCAAGCTTTTGTGCCTGCTTTATCAACTTTTCTAAGATTCTTTCACCTGATGTTACTTAAACATAATTTGAAGGAGTCTAAAATACATTTAAAACAATCAGGAGCCCCCACCCCCACCGCCAACACTCACACCTTTTAAAAAAAGTACCAACCATTAGAGAAGGAAAACAGAAGCAAAGAGTTGCCAGTTCAGTGAATTTATTTTGTTTACAATTTCCTGGAAGAGCAAAGGAATTCAGGTTGCCAAGGTGATTCCAAGGGCAAAATGCCCTGTCACAATTCTCCCTTTGAGTCGAAGAGGGAGCGTCAAGCACAGATAGAAAAAACAAAGCCCATCCCCTCACCCTGTGTCTTCCTCCTCTCCCGACCCCGAGAGCAGCCATTTTGGAAGTGGCAACACTGACACCCAGGCTGCTTCCCAGGACCTCTGCACCTGCCTCTTCTGGACCCATCAGCAGCTCCCCTGGGAGCTGAAGTGGGTCACACACTCCAGAACTCCAACCCCTTATCTTTTTCCTCCAGAAGGCCCTTTGTCCTGAATTTTCCAGGGAACTTCTTTGTTCTAGCTCTCTTTCTTTCACCTAGCTCTCACTTATACAACATTGTCACTGTATCTTCTTTTCTCTGATAGGAAGATACTCCCAGGAATAATGGGAAAAGCTGTCTTTACGGAGTGAACATTGTGTGCCTGGCACTGTTCCAAGCATTTTCACACACCAGTTCATTTCATCCTGACAACAACCCTGTGGGGTAGATCCTCCTCTGATTCCCATTTCGTAGAGCAGAATATGGCGGCACACGGGTTAAGTAACTTGCCCAGGGTGACAGCCAAGAAGTGACGTAGCAGGACAGACAGTCTGTCTCCAGAGCCCTTGTGCCTCATGGCTACACCATTCTGTCTCTAATAAAAAGGAACCCCCGTCTGTTTATTTGATCTTTCATATTCATAGTGGAGAAACGAAAGTAAAAAACTCCTGTTTAGGCTGCAACAGCAGTAGCAATGATGTGTGCCTGGCCAAACGAGACCTTTTTCAGAGTGAAACATGAGGTCTTTAAAAGCCTCTGCTCTGAGGGTTGCCATGGTGCACCCTCAGAGGAATTTGAGGGGCCCGAGAGAGCACTAGTCTGTGAGCTGGGGCCTTGGCTCACCGGTTTCCTGGTAACTGCATTTCCTTCTTGGCAAGCTGGCTATATCAGGCAAAGGTAGGCTCTAGGCCTGGGAGGCCAGAAGGGGTTACAGAGACCAAGAAGCAGTATAGAAGGAATGGGTTGGTGCCCGGAAGAGCCCTCAGGAAGAAAGGAGTGTAGGCTTCCCCTTGGGAGAAATGTCATTAAACAGGGGAACTAACAATATTGTACAGATCTTATTCTTATGGAGCTCTGGCATTCTGCACTGGATGACCAGATGAGGATTGTGGATTTGTTTCATTTTCTGTCACATTGGTTCTGTTTCTGTTCATGGATAATTCATACAGTTGCCTTCATGTGCTCTGAAAACTGCTGGGGACTATAGTGCTAGTCATTATCACTTTACACCTCCTGAGGGAGGGTCCATAAGAAGCCTTGTGTGATATAATGATTTATAAAAAATATATATATGGTCATTCAGATTCCTGAAAATGCTTCAGAGCCATAAATGGGTGAAATGGGTGTCTTGTTATTAAAGAAGGTGACTTTCGGACCCCACCCAAGGGTGGGGCTGGTGGCCAGGAGGGCCAACCCTGTGATTAGAGGGTTGGAGCTGTCAGTACCCCCACCCAAAACTTCCAGGGAGGGGAGAGGGGCTAGAGGTTGAATCAGCCCATGGCCCAGGACTTAATTAATCATGACAGTGTAGTGAAGCCTCCATAAAAACTCAAGGCAGCAATTTTTAGGCCCTTCTTGGAGAGCTTCCATGCTTGGGGAACCAGAAGGTTTCCATGTGCTACCAAACCAGACCCCAAAATCCATGAGGACAGAAGCTCCTTTCTTTGGGATCTCACCCTATGTATCCCTTTAACTGGCTGTTGATTCCTACACTTTATCATATCCTTTCATAAAATGGTAAATGTTAGTGTTTCCCTGAGTTCTTCGAGCCGCTCCCGCAAATTAATTGAATCTAAGGAGGAGGTCAGTGGCACTTCCAGTCTGTAGCTGGTCAGTCAGAAGCACAGGTAACAGCCCCCTTGAGACTGGTGTCTGAAGTGGGGCATGAGGTGCAGCCTTGTAGGACTGCATCCTTCACCTGTGGAACCTGATGCCATCTCCAGAGAGAAAGTGTCAGAATTGTCTTGAATTCTCAAACACTCTTAAAGACCTTGCCCACCCCCCCCACACACAAAGTTGAACTAATATCACCCCCCCACACACACACAAAGTTGAACTAATATATAATTTTGCTGCAGGCAGACTGCTAAAAAAACAAGATTCCAATGTTCTGACCGCAGACGCTTTTTATTCTAGGAGACCTTCCAAAGGGTCTTGGTGGGAGATTCAGGACGAGTTGGTTATTTGCTAACACATGTCTGGAGAATTAGTACTATTGTGGCTTCTTCTTAGAGGGAACTCCAACCTCCTTCCTTCTCTTGGAAGCAGTGGCCCGTTTGCATCACTTGTTGCATGACGGTGACCAGATGAATGGGAGGCTAGGATTTTAGGTCATAAGCCAGAGCCAGATGCATCAGACTGGGAATGCAGCTTCGAGGGAACATCTACCAGTCTACACAAGGTGAACATTTGAGAGTTGAGAGCCTGGGGCTAACCACATAAAAAAGGTACCTAATAGCCTAAA